AAGACATATTCACATGAATTAAAGACTGATGTGTCATCATTATTCATATGCTCAGTAGGAAGGATAAAAACTACATTGTTTAAACATATTCAAATAGTTTTCGAATGTCGGAGTGGAAGCGATAAAAATCTCATCTTTAACTTTCCCAGTGTCTAGCATTCTAGCTCTACTTCTAGTAAAAATAGTAAAGAACAACCTAAAAACAATTTGGTGATATACAAAAATTTCCTAATAGTTTTGTGAAAATAACTAATCACTTTTATTACTTATCACTTGGTAAAGAAATAATTCGATAAACTACATTAGGACCCCTATTTGTTAAAGACGAACAAAGTATAAGAAATTGCATGTTCATTTGAATGAGACTTCAAAAAAGAACATCTCTTGAGTAACTTGCTTTGAGTGTTTTGGGCATCACTGAGTTTACTGACAGACAGATTTAAAACATATTTCTGACTTATGTAGTTTAAAATTCACGCTCATACAATATGTCGTTGATTGATGTGATTCTAGTAAACCTATATTATGAATGTATAGTTCCTTATGTTAATAATTGACATAGTTTTAGAAAAAAAAGAAAATTTTTCTCGTTGCTCCTAGGCGTCACTAAGAACGAATCTTGTTTTGTACTGCCAACGATTCAAATACACGGTTTTTGGTCAGATTTTTCTTCTGATTCCAGTTGAAATTCTTCAACCTTTGCAATGATAGTGGTTTCTTTTTTATGGCAGCGTCAAACGTAGACGCGATAAAATTTCAATCCCTTCAACGGCCATGTGCTATTAGCGGCATTTAACCCATTGCCCGCTGACGACATCATTGAATAGAACAAATTGGGCTACTGATATATCAGTGGACAGCGTGCAATGTGTTAAAGAATCGCAGCTTTTTATTCTTAATAAATATGGATCGATAGTTAAGATTATAAAAAAGCATTTCTGTCTTTCAAAGATTTCTAGAAAATCCTTCAAAAACCAAAGCACTTATTGATGATTCCATTTTTATTGAAGTTTTAAAAGTTCAACTTTTTAGTAATGCTTTAGATCTAAATTGACAAGAGTGAGTACAGTACATGCAATTTCGCACTTGACAAAGTAGGAATAGGAACAAGAGTGGTATGTTGTCCTCGTTCTCGCTGCAAAATATGTGTCAATCATACGAAGCCGCATAAACCAAGACTAAACAGAGATGAAGAATAAAAAGGCTTTTTCGGTGGAGATATAGAGAAACTTAAGAATGGACATAGTATAGAAAGTGACTGTTTTGCAGATTGATTTCTTTTGTCCGATAGCGCAGATCATAAGCAGTCTGATAGTGAAGTACGGTCAAAACTTGCGACAAAGTGGGAGACTACACCAGTAGTCCTTGACTTTCTCTCAAGTAGCTTCCTGCGCTATGCGCAAAAGAGTTTCAAAAACCAGAAAAGAAGTGTATTTTGTTAAAATGTTTAAGTATAGGCTTCCAGATAATAATTTTGGCGGCTTTACTAATATTACTGTGAATGATCTTCTTTTTAAAAATTCCTACCAAAAATATAAATATTTATGGTCAGAAAATGCATAAAAAAGAGTCGTCTTAGAGAATACACACGGAAACACAGAACGTGAGGAGTGTTTGAATGACAAAGACAAGGAGTTTTTCGTTTTATTCTAACTTTAATTACATATAAATAAAACTGATCGATTCGGTTCGGTTTAGTTGCAGAGAAACAACAACCGATCCCATCTCAATGGTGAAAGGATTGAACATAAAAGCTTCTGCACTACCCTGCCAGTTTAAAATGCAGCTGATCAGCGCTGATTCAGACTTATTCGTTAGGCCACAAAAACAGCTCAATAATAAACGTTTTCTTCATAATATGACAGATTGTAAAAGGGTGAACTCTCTTTTTATTTTGATCTGATTTTGTATTATCTGCAACTTATAATGATATCGATTCAGATTGTGGCGAAATGTGGCACAAAAACAGAGATTGCTTTTCTTCTTTTTTTGTTTTCTTTTCCTTTTAGTTTCGGTTTTCATTGTCATTGTCTTTTAGTTAATAGACAAACTATTTTGTCAATCAACCCTCATTACAATCTTCTTTAACTTTCCGGAAACTCATGCTAGTAAGAAGCTGCTTGAAATAAACCAAAAAACCTCTTATATTTAGCAGAAATACAGTCAACTGACAAAAACTGTTTGAAAATAAGTGCACATATAAATGCTGGTAGAAATATTTACGATGGCAATTAAAAGTACATATTTTGCTTATGCTTAGCTATGATATTGACAACCGCTTATCTAAGAAAGTATAACGTATCTTTTTCTAAAATATAGTTGGATACAGAGTACAATTTGCGTACTTCAAACTGCCAGAAAGAGTGGAGAGGGATATTTTCAAATTTGTTAACTTTTTAATCTGCGAAGTTGGTAGGATGTAGGATGAACTTGCAGTGAGCACTGCTTCTTTCGAACATAGAATAAATGAACATTTCGATGAAATATAACGTAAGGTGCACACAATGCAAAATTCGAGCAGGTTTTTTTTTTCAACAGAAAGTACATATTCTGATGCAGAATTTCATGCTGATCATGAATATGATCTTAAAAGTTCAAAAAAACCTTTTCGATATTTAAACGGCAATAAGACGGCGTCATTCATCACCGAATTCATGGCTTTAGCTAATACAACAGCATTCAATAAATCGTCTAATTGCTCACTCTAAAAAAAAATGCGACTTCGGATCAAATTAAGTCGCATTAATGTGCCTTATTCTGTGATAATAAGACACATTAATGCGACTTAATTTGATCCTAAGTCGCATTTTTTTTTAGAGTGCTCGTTTGTATAAAGATGAGGTTTGTTCGATAATACTAATTGAACGAATGGTTTGCGGTCGATGATCGGAGCAGTCGATGATTCTTCGATGCACACAACATCTTCTTCAAAAACTGGTTGTGAGTGTGGAGAGATGCGTTCCTGTGGCACTAGTTCTTCACTGGCAGTGCCATCACTGGTTTCGGGCTGTATCAGTTGTTCTTGCTCAACTTCATCACCACCACTTCCCTCCATAACATCGTCTGTTATTGGATCATTAGTGGAGACCGCTGTTTCCGACACTTTTTTTGTCAGCGATTGCTGTGAATTTTCACCAACATAACTCGAAGTTAAAGTCGGTGAAGAAAATATGGATGAGTTCACCGACGGTAATAGAAGTTCGTTGGAATCCGATTGATCGTTCTGTAGCGAAAAATGAGCAAACTTTTATAATATGCAAGTTTTTTAGGGTCAATGCATATTGCAGGGCTAGATTAAATAGATTTTTTCGTGTGAGCTGTTTGTTTAAAGAAAAAGGTATAGACTAGAAATTCAATCTCTCTTTTAAAAATGGTCTCATAGATTTCGAAAGTTGCGAAATCAGAAAACAAAAAAAAACCTCATGTAAGTAAAACAAGATACCAATCACAAAAGATCTATTTACCAACTGCTCTTGAAAATGCCGATTGTTATAATAGTCCACTTGTTGTTGATAGAGATCAAATAAATGACGATCAGGTGAAGATAATGGCGATATCGATGGTAAACGAGGTACAGTAATTGACGAGGTATTTTTCGATGAATTTGACGATACACTGTTAGGCAAATTTGCTCTTGTTCGACTTGACTGTAATGCACGAACTGAAGGTGCAAGAGGGAAGGTGGTGATGGTTGATGGAGGATAAAAATGGCTTCCATCACCGTACGATACATAATCAGCGGTATCAGTGGTTAACTGATCGAAATTTGCTGGATTATTCACTCTCAGCTGGGCTACGCTAAAAGAGAAAAAAGAAACTTGTCTATTACAATGAAAATTAAAACTAAGATTTACCTCCGAGCACTAGATGTCAAAATTTCATTGATTCTGGTTTTTGCTGTACGTTCTTTGATACGACGATAATAGTCGGTGATTTCACCGTAATTGCCACTTTTTATTTTGTCGATAATGAAACGGATATTTTTCTCTATCACAGCTAAATGTATCACGATTTCAAGCTCGGTATCATCTATTAGACGATATGTTCTTTTCGACATGTGTGAGTGTTCACTTTCCGATGTAGAAAAGAAATGAGGTTAAGGAAGAAAAGGTTGATATGTATCTAAAATAAAAGCTCATGTATAAATAAAACTACATGTAATCTTAATAGCAAAAAAATATTTTCCGGGTCTTCTTGACTTTGAGCCATTTTTTTCAGTTAAAAAAATGGCTGCTCATCATCGAAGAATTACACAAATTTTAGCAAACACATGTATAGATATAGTAGAATTAATCAATTTATTGCCACGTTTATTACAACAGTACGATGTAGAGGAAGAAAGAAGATTTGTGGCAGTTGTGTTATTTCATTTGAAAGAAATGATTCAATTGCTGCCAATATTTCCTCGGTTATCAAACTACAAATTGTCAATTCCACTTGATCGATTCATAAGAGGGCACATGCGAAATTTATACTCAGAATTATGCCCAACGCCTCGCCGTTTTTGTTCATTAATCGGCATACCTCTAAATGAATTTAACGAGATTTACCGTGTTTTTTCTCGAAACATGGCTCATAAACTAACGTTTTTTTTACCAACGAATTCATGATTCTCTATTTGACGTTAACATTTTATTTTTATTATTAATTTGGTTAAGATTATATCCCACTTATAATTTGCTTAGTTTAATGTTTAATATTTCACCAAATCGTGTGTCTCGTTTACGCCTCTTCTCTTTTCCGGTGCTCATCAAAACACTGAAAT